ATAAAAACAAAAAGTTTAAAAAGTCGAAAAATTGACATTTTTTCAAAGGGGTTAACCCTTATTTTTTATCCAAAAATAGCCAGTTTTCCAACTTTTTTGTTAGGGAATATAGGCCTTTAAAATGTCTTTTACGATATTCTAGAACGAAGAAATGGCTTTCTAGGCTATAAAAAAAAGAAGTTTAAAGAGTCGAAAAATTGACTATTTTCCAAAGGGATTAACTCATGGTTTTGGTCCAAAAATGGCCATTTTTCTAACTTGTTTTTTTAGGCAATATAGGCCAGGAAAATGTCTTTTACGATACTCTACAACAAAAAAACGCCTTTCTAGGCTATAAAAACAAGAAGTTTAAATAGTGGAAAAATTGACTATTTTCCAAAGGGGTTAACCCATGGTTTTGGTCCAAAAATGGCCATTTTTGCAACTTTTTTTTTAGGCAATATAGGCCAGGAAAATGTCTTTTACGATATTCTAGAACAAAAAAACGCCTTTCTAGGCTATAAAAACAAGAAGTTCCAAAAGTCGAAAAATTGACAATTTTTCAAAGGGGTTAACCCATGGTAGTGGTCCAAAAATGGCCTTTTTTCCAATTTTTTTTTTTTAGGCAACATAGGCCAGAAAAATGACTTTTACGATATTCTAGAACAAAAAAATGCCTTTCTAGGCTATAAAAACACGAAGTTTAAAAAGGGGAAAAGTTGACTATTTTCCAAAGAGGTTAACCCGTGGTTTTGGTCCAAAAATGACCATTTTTCCCACCTTTTTTTTTTTAGGCAATATAGGCCAGGAAAATGTCTTTTACGATATTCTTGAACGAAAAAGCGCCTTTCCAAGCTATAAAAACAAGAACGTTAAAAAGTCGCAAAATTGACTATTTTGCAAAAGGGTTAACTCATGGTTTTTGTCCAAAAATGGCCATTTTTCCAACTTTTCTTTTTAGGCAATATAGCCCAGGAAAATGTCTTTTACGATATTGTAAAACGAAAAAACGCCTTTCTAGGCTATAAAAAGAAGAAGTTTAAAAAGTCGAATAATTGACATTTTTCCAAAGGGGTTAACCCATGGTTTTGGTCGAAAAATGGCCCTTTTTTTTAGCTTTTTTTTTTTTTGGGAATATAGGCCAGAAAAATGTCTTTTACGATATTCTAGAACAAAAAAATGCCTTTCTAGGTTATAAAGACAAGAAGTTTAAAAAGTGGAAAAATTGACTATTTTCCAAAGGGGTTGACCCATGGTTTTGGTTCAAAAATGGCCATTTGTCCAAGATTTTTTTTTTATGCAATGTAGGCCTTTAAAATGTCTTTTACGATATTCTAGAACGAAAAAACGCCTTTCTAGGCTATAAAAACAAGAAGTTGATAAAGTCGAAAAACTGAGATTTTTCCAAAGGGGTTAACCCATGGTTTTGTTCACAAAATGGCCATTTTTCTAACTTTTTCTTTTCGGCAATATAGGCCAGGAAAATGTCTTTCACGATATTCTAGCACGAAAAAACGCTTTTATACGCTATAAAAACAAGAAGTTGAAACAGTCGAAAAATTGAGATTTTTCCAAAGGTGTTAACCCATGGTTTTGTTTAGAAAATGGCCATTTTTTCATCTTTTTTTTATAGTAATATAGGCCAGAAAAATTTGTTTTACGATATTCTACAACGAAAAAACGCTTTTCTACGCTATAAAAACAAGAAGTTCAAAAAGTCGAAAAATTGAGATTTTTCCAAAGGGGTTAACCCATGGTTTCCGTCAAAAAATGGCAATTTTTCTATCTTTATTTCTTTAGGAAATATAGGCCAGGAACAGGTGATTTACAATATTCTAAAACCAAAAAAACGCCTTTCTAGGCTATAAACACAAGAAGTTGAAAAAGTTGAAAAATAAAGAAATTGAAAAAGTCGAATAATAGAGATTTTTCCGAAGGGGTTTACCCATGGTTTTGGTCAAAAAATAGCAATTTTTTCATCTTTTTTTTTAGTTAATATAAGCCAGGAAAATATCTTTCACAATATTATAGAACGAAAAAACGCCTTTCTAGGCTGTAAAAACAAAAAATTGAAAAGGTCCAAAAGTTGACATTTTTCCAAGGGGGTTCACCCGTGGTTTTGGTCCAAAAATGGCCATTTTTCTAACTTTTCCTTTTGGGCAATATAGACCAGGAAAATGTCTTTACCGATATTCTAGAACGCAAAAACGCCTTTCTAGGCTATAAAAACAAGAAGTTCAAAATGTCGAAAAATTGACTATTTTCCAAAGGGGTTAACCCATGGTTTTGGTTCAAGAATGGCTATTTTTCCACCTTTTTTTTTTAGGCAATATGGGCCAAGAAAATTTCTTTTACGATATTGTAGAACAAAAAAACGCCTTTCTAGGCTATAAAACAAGAAGTTCAAAAAGTCAAAAAATTGACATTTTTCCAAAGGGCTTCACCCATGGTTTTGGTCCAAAAATGGCAAGTTTTACAACTTTTTTTTTTAGGCAAAATAGGCCTTCAAAATGTCTTGTACGATACTCTACAACAAAAAAACGCCTTTCTATGCTATAAAAACAAGAAGTTCAAAAAGTCGAAAAATTAACTATTTTCCAAAGGGGTTAACCCATGGTTTTGGTCCAAAAATGGTCATTTTTTTAACTTTTTTTTTTAGGCAATATAGGCCAGGAAAATGTCTTTTACGATATTCTAGAACAAAAAAATGCCTTTCTAGGCTATAAAAACAAGAAGTTGAAAAAGTCAAAACACTGACATTTTTCCAAAGGGGTTAACCCATGGTTTTAGTCCAAAAATGGCCATTTTTCCAACTTTTCTTTTAGGCAATATAGGCCAGAAAAATGTCTTTTACGATATTCTAGAACAAAAAAATGCCTTTCTAGGCTATAAAAACAAGAAGTTTAAAAAGTGAAAAAACTGACACTTTTTTAAAGGGGTTCACCCAAGGTTTTGGTCCATAAATGGCCACTTTTCTAACTTCTTTTTTTAGGCAATATAGGCCTTCAAAATGTCTTTTACGATACTCTACAACGAAAAAAACGCCTTTCTAGGCAATAAAAACAAGAAGTTTAAAAAGTCGAAAAATTGACATTTTTCCAAAGGGGTTAACAAATGGTTGTGGTCCAAAAATGGCCATTTTTCCAACTTTTTTTTTCCAGGCAATATAGGGCAGGAAAATGTCTCTTACGATATTGTAGAACAAAAAAATGCCTTTCTAGGCTATAAAAACAAGAAGTTTAAAAAGTCAAAAAATTGACTATTTTCCAAAGGGGTTAACCCATGGTTTTGGTCCAAAAATGGCCATTTTTCCAACTTTTTTTTTTAGGCAATATAGGCCTTTAAAATGTCTTTTACGATACTCTACAACGAAAAAACGCTTTTCTAGGCTATAAAAACAAGAAGTTCAAAAAGTCGAAAAATTAACTATGTTCCAAAGGGGTTAACCCATGCTTTTGGTCCAAAAATGGCCATTTTGCCAACTTTTTCTTTTAGGCAATATTGACCAGGAAAATGTGTTTTACGATAGTGTAGAACGAAAAAACGCCTTTCTCGGCTATAAAAACAAGAAGTTGAAAAAGTCACAAAATTGAGATTTTCCAAGGGGGTTTAACCCTGGTTTTGGTCAAAAAATGACCCGTTTGGCTTTTTGAACTTCTTTTTTTTATAACCTAAAAAGGCGCTTTGTCTTCATTTTGTCCCTAAAATGAAGCGATGGAAATATTGCTAATTTTTGACCAATTACCATGGACTAACCCCTTTGGAAAAATCCCAATTTTTCCACTTTTTTAACTTGGTGTTTTTTATCCTAGAAAGGCGTTGTTTCTTTCCAGAATGTCGTAAAACACATTTTCCGTCCGTACTTTGCCTAAAATAAAAAGATGAAATAATTGCCTATTTTTGATTAAAACCATGGAGTAACCCCTTTCCAAAAACCTCAATTTTTCCACGTTTTTAACTTCTTGTTTTTTTTTTCCTTACTTAAATATCTTGACACACTTTCCTTGCCTATTTTTCGTAAATTAAAAAGATTGAAAAATTGCAATTTTCGACTAAAACTATGGAGTAACCCGTTTGGAAAAATCGGTTTTTTTTAATTTTTGAAGTTGTTGTTTTTAGAGCCTAGAGAGGCGTCTTTCTGTTTCTAATTTATCGATGAACACATTTTTTTTTTTACCTATTTTCCCTTAAAAAAAAGATGGAGAAATTACTAATTTTTAACCAAAACCATGGACTAACCCCTTTGGGAAAAATTCCATTTTTCGACTTTTTAAACTTATTGTTTTTATAGCCTAGAAAGGTGTTTTTGTTTTTTAGAATTAAGTTAATCACATTTACCTATGCTAATTTGCTAAAATGAAGAGTTGGAAAAATTGCCAATTTTTGACCTAAACCATGGACTAATCTCTTTGGAAAAATCCCAATTTTCCTAATTGTCAAAGTGCTTGTTTTTATAGTCTAGACATTTAAAAGTTTTGACTTTGTTCTATGGCGGTTTTCAAAGTTTATAAAGGCTTGTTGTCTATGAAGAATGTTTTTTTTTGGATCGGCCACAAATACTTTTTCTTGGCCTTTTTTTGACGAAAAGAGTGAATGAAAAAATTTAGAATTTCGACGAACCCATCGACTAACCCCTTTGATAAAATGCCGAATTTTGCGACTTTCTTAATTGTATGTTTTGATTGCCAATAAAAGCCTTTTTTTTCTTGGTAGTTTTCTTTTTTTTTTACAAAAAAAGGAGTTGATAACTGTAACTCTTCGGAAAAATATGCAAATTTTGACACTTTCCAAAGGCGATGTTTTTATTGCCAAAAAGGCCATTCTTCTATGAAGAATGTCTCCAAGCACCTTCTTTGTGCTCTTTTGACGAAAAAAACGATGAATTATCTTTTCAATTTTTGACCAAACACATGGTCTAACCCCTTTGGCTTAAAAGAACGTGTGGAGATAAGCTTCCCCCATTTCCCCGATTATACATAATACTTCAACCTTGACAAACAACAGCCACACTTACGTAAAAGTTAACGCAAACTTCTGTCTTTTATTAACTGAGATCATTTTAATTTGCATGCAGTTCACACTAATTCCTGTTGTGGATTAAGATCTAAAAAATTCATTACAATTATTTACAATTAAGTAAAAATAAAATAAACTGTAGACAATGGATTTTTTTTTTCTGCATTTAAAGACTAATACATTTTGAGATAAAACTTCTCTGACAAATTTGGTTTGAACTTAAGAATGTAACTTGCTCTTAAAATCTCAGTGCAATAACAAAGATTGTAGTAAACTGAACATCAATAAAATAAGAGACAAAAATGTAACGCAAATAAGCTATTTATTCCTACACTACTGGCGTTACCATAAATACGTCACGCAAAACATTAAGCAGTCAATATCCGATGGTCCTAAAAATAAAAAGGGACTGCCCAGGATCTCCCATTAAAAAAAAAATGATACCAGGCGAGAGAAGTACTGAAGAATTTTCATTTAAATGGTCACACCACAAGGTGTGACCAAGCCCACCGGCTCAAAAGTAAGAAACACCTGATACAGCGTGAACAATACCATTTCGAAGTAGTGCTCGGTACCTGTCAGTTGAATGGTCACACTTTAGGGGGACGAGGATGAGGTTAGCTTGTAGGAACCATCATTTTAAAATGTCACGATTTAATTCCCTGATTAAATCATAACTGGTAAAAACCTTACCTCATGCAAAATCAAACACAGCTAAAATAAAATTTCCACTTTTGAAATGGAATGAGCGTATTTAGAAAACTAATTTAAGAACATTAAACTTAGGTCTCTGTATTGTCTATCTTAAATAACTAGAAATTCTACCTGCGCAACCCTAAAGATAGTTGCCATTTTTTGTTTGTTTTGTTTTTAACTTTACGAGTTTCCAGACTGAACACTTTGTTACCACATAATATTGAAAAACAAATATTTCTCTTTTCTTATTCCGAACATTTCGTGTGTCAGTATTAGAGAGAAGTTGTAAAAATAGGAAGAGTACTCTACACTGACTTAAAATAAAAATTTTGGAATTAGGTATCACAGCTACTACACCCCGTTTCCTTGCCCTTCGCACAAAACTAAACGTTTAATCAATTTTTCAAAAATTTATTTAATATTCTTCCTCCACCCCAGCAAAGTCTATATAAAAAACGAATAAAATAATAAGAATCAAAGATGTAAGCTGTAAACTAATTAGCTCTACGAATGTTGCTCTTACATAAACAGAGTTTTTTGAAAAAATGTCTGTCAAATCGAAGCCTACCCACGAACACCCTATCCCATGCATTGTTAAATTAGAATCTTCCACCCCATATATTGACTTTTTGCACGTTTAATTCAGTTTAAATGCGCAGTTTTTTAAAATGTAAAGGTTCCCACACAAAGCGACTGCACAAAATCGCGGTAGGTCTTTCAAAACCTGGCTGGCTAAGCCTCGTGAAAAACCACCTGTAACGACATCGAGTACTTACGAAGCTATGACAACTTGGCGAATACTGTGTTTTTAATCAAAGACTGCAAATCAAATTGCAATCGTGTTAGGATGAATCTAAGTGACGATGCGTACGTTGATAATGATTTATGCCCCAGTAAAGACCATTTCATTAAAAACAATTACTGTTGGTTTCGACGATTTTGTCTAGTTCACTTCTTTGACGCGAAACGTCCAAATTTCGAAATTTATTATACGCATGCGCATATCCCTGGTGATTCCCACATGGTCACTGACACCACAGCTGACTCAAAGCGGGCGATTTTTCGTCTGATTAATCCATCCTAGGGAAGCTACATCCCAAACTATAAGCGTAAAGCGTAAAAGGGAAAATCAAGCAAAACCCTAAGAAAATACATTTCAAATATTAGCTGGGATGGAAGCTGCCCCTGAAGGAACAACGGTGACGATTCCCAGGCTGAACGTGAATTTCCAATCCCAATTTCGTGATTCCTCTAAATGCCTTCGTGACTGTTCATGTCCTTGCGCAAAAGAAATCACATGCAAATCACGTGCCACGGGAAAGGCATTACAGGCAACCCTCAGTTTACATTTTGATTTGTAATTATCATTAACTAGTTCAACCAGAATGAACACAGGTTCGGATCTACAATACTTTGAGAAAAACACGTTCAGCAAGACCACAGCGTACAAGAAGATGGACTCGGTTAAACATGGCTGTCCACGCTTATTCCAGACACGTCATCCAAAACTTCTTGGAAGGACGGTCGAGCGAGCGGGTTGCCTTCCCAACATTTCTCCATTACCTCCAACACGGTGTCCGGGCAGTTGTCGGGCTTGTTAAGACGAAGGTCATTCTTAACGCATTTCAGAACCTCTTCATTGGACCGATCGTGGTAGGGCATCTGACCGAACGTGTAAATCTCCCAAACCAGCACACCGTATGACCAGACATCGCTCTTTTCTGTGAAATCATCGTCAAAGATCGCTTCTGGGGGCATCCAACGCAGGGGAATCAGCACGTTGTTGAAGCGGAAGTACTCGGCATTGTAGAGATCGTAGCTCAAACTCAAGAAACCGATTTTGACTTTGAGGTCCTTGCCAACCATGCAGTTTCTCGCGGCGAGGTCTTTGTGCACAAATTCTTGCGAACTGAGGTAACTCATTCCAGAGGCCAACTGCTCGCAGATGGAGAGTTTTTGACTTGAGTTCAAAGTGCTGCGGCCATTATCGTAACATGAGAGCAGAAACTGCTTCAAGTCGCCCTAAAAAGGAAGAGAAAAAAGATAACGTAAATTGTACGGGAAACAGAACTGTCTTCTGGCAAGATTAGACAAGACTTGCGCATTTTGACACAGAACTCTCTCACCCTTTCCGGGGTATCCATCGCAAACTCTTTGACTCCAAAAAAAAGATAACTCCCTACAGTAAGGGATCTCTCAACCGACTTGCGTTGGTCTTTCTAACCTACGAATAAACTTTTTCCTCGTCTCTTCGCCACCGGGTACGTTTCGCGAGAGAGACGTCTGCGATTCGGCCTCAAAAATACCATACTGATGACGTGAATCACTGTTTACATAATTAATCTGGTACTCATGGAAACCCACATGTAAATTTGTTCGAGTTTTGTTTATTTTCTCCTGGTCTATTATCGTTAAGTTTTGAGTTCTGCGAATAAGCGGCGGCAATCTCCAGTGCTTCTTGTAACGAAGAATATATTCCCTGAATAATGACTGTTTCTTCTTAGTAGATTCATGACGTTTAGTAAATTTGATCATTGTGACCTTTTGCTTTTTATCTGTCAATCACAAACAACTAAAAGAATAGAACTACGTCGACCAACCAGCGCACGATGACCTGATTTTAGAAAAACCACAGTCATCAGTATGGAATTCTGGGGGTAGAATCGCAAACGTCTCTCCCGCGAAACGTGTTTCGTCCCCAACGGAAAAGAGTCATGCGAGACGACTGCATTCGCAGGCTATGGTTGAATATATACTAAAAAAGCAAGTTAAGAATTACATGTACAAACCTTTTCAGCTGATTCAAATATCATGTAAATTGGTTCCTCTTCCCTGCACATCCCAAGAAGAGCAACAACACTGTCGTGCTGCAGTCCACACAACGCGTCCATTTCTTTCGTGAACTCTTCGCGCACCTGGTCATCACTACTAGCCAACGCCTTAACAACTACCATGGTCTCCTTCTCGCCGTCGCGAATGCCACTGGCTCGTGCCAGGAACGATCGGCCATACCCGCCGTTACCCAGGCTCCTTAGTGCTTCTAAGTCGTGCCTGGGAAACTCCATTTTGTCGTAGCTGGGCTGGGATTTGTAGACCGGGTTCATGGTCATGTCGTTAGGATCTCCGCCTTGGTGTTCGATGTCACCATTGTTTACTGTCATTGAGAAAAAAGGGGGTAGGAGTTACTCCTAAAACGACAGTAGGATGATTACGCAAAGACGTTTTTCAGCAACGCACGGCAACCGGAAGTGGACCCCATCTTATCACTTTTGGGCAAATACGTAATTTTCGCGATCCCATCTTAGTCACTTTCTATTTTTATGAATTGACCCATTTTCCAGATTGAATGAAGCACACATTACTTTACATCTGCAGTACAAACATTCTGGTACGTTTGCTAACCATATGAAGATCTGTCTTACGCCCCAAAATCCGAAAATGTGCGAGCCCATTCTAGTGACTCTATTGAAAATGCGACCCCATTATAATCAATCCAGTCGTGAAAATGCGACCCCATCCAGCGGCACATCCCTATTAGCCTCGACCCCCCCCCCGGTCAAAAACGTATTTGCCTAAGCTCCAGAGTAACTACTTAAACGGGCGTCATCTGAGCTAAGCAGGGCCATGTTTGAAAAGCAACTTAAAATTAGGTGGGAGTTTTTCAAAACGTTCCGTGTGTGTTTTGCTTCATACACTTGTCAATTACCCAAGTATGAGTTGTCTGAGATACCATGCAAAAAAATCCTCTGCTAGAAACGGAATGGTTGCGGAAAATTCCCACCTATTCTTAAGTTGCTTGACGCAGCCAGACCCACCAATAATAAACGAGCAAGAACGAGCATTCTTAAATGGGAAACAAATTGAGCCTTTCTTTTTTTCTTGTCTTCTCTGTCGAGTAGGGAAAATCTTCCCCGTTTAACAAAAATCGTTATGTTTGCTTGGGTTTCGTGAACGACCTTTTGTTAACGCTGACGTTTATAAAAGACACATGGGTAAGAACGGCTAACATGCGCTCATTACAATGCAGGCCCGAACTTGTGGAAAGAGTAAGAAAACTGGTGAGAAAACTCGTAAAAGAGGCCAGTTCGTTGAAGTGGGAAGCCACTCGCTTCAAGGTATTTTGATCACTAATAATGATGATGATGATGATGATAATAAAAATAACAATAACAATCACAATAATTAGATCTTAAGTTGGAATTCAATTTGTCCTAATATTTTGACTTCTCGCTGCAGTTTTGCTTTCGAGTAGCTAGAAAAAGGCAAGGCATCTCACTCGAAGTTGAACGTACAAAACGAGTAGCAAAAACTTAGCAAATGGGCAAAGATAAACACTTACAGTTCTCGCACTCGGGAGCCATGATTTCTTCTTTCTTGCTCTGTCTTGCTCTTCTTCCTTTGCAGTAGATCATTAAACCGACGACAAGAACGATATACGCTGCTGCACAACCCACAGCAATACCTATAGTTCTTCCCATGGACTCCACAGAGGAAGACTTGCCTTTCCCAGGGTTATTTTTTTCATTATATAAAGCTTCTCCATCTGTACCACGATCTACACGAGAGCGGGCAAACGGTGAGTTAGTTATGTTAGCAAGACAAACATTTCCAAGAGTTTGCAATTCTAATTGGAGTCAAAAACTAAGCCACTTTGTACAGAACAATTAGAGCGGTTTTCACTTGACTGTCGAAAGGGATTGGTTTTGGTTTTGGTTTTGGTTTTACTACGCCCTTTGGTTGGCTAGTGTATTTACTTTGGTTTTGGTTTTACGACAGTCAAGTGAAAACCGCTCTAACAGTATAGTGGGAATGTATAAGGTGCTGTATATGGTGTCTAGGTCTCACTTTTGAGTCTGTGGATAAAAATCCTAAAGTGTTGCGACTCAAATGAAAGCCATTGAACAGTAACTTCATGTGGTACTGACCATTACAATACACTGTACAAGGTGGTTCTAACTTTTGAGTCGGTAGATGAAATCCGTAAACTTTGGGTTACCGTTCAAATTGAAGCCACTGAAAAAGTACTTTTCAGTGGTACTATTTATTATTTCATAACATCACAGCTTAACTGACAGACGACCAATAACATCGCGACATAATTGACCAATCAGACCAATAACCAGAGTATAATACCATCAACTGACGTGATACAACTCACTTTGACTCGGAAGATGACTACCGCACAGGTTGTCGAAACGTCAGTCACTGTCAACAACAACAGTCCTATTCAGGACTACGTTCACCCGGACGATCAAACTCAAGCTATTTTTGAAATGAATCCTGGGTTCAAACCTTTCAACCTATTTATTATGCTGTACAAAGTGGTTCTAATTTTTGAGTCTGTGGATGAAATCCTGAATTGTTACCATTCAAATGAAGACTACTGAACCGTACTTTGCTGCGGTACCGTTTATTTTGCTGTACAAGGTTGGCCTTGCATTGGAGTGTCACCATTCAAATGGAGACTACTAAGACGCAGACTGAGAGCATCAGGAACTGTAGGGCAAGTGCATTACGTGAGCACGCGTGACAATACTTTGTCTCTTCTAACAATGGCCACTTTCAGGAGTGGAAGGCTACGAAGCTTAAGGGAGTTTAAGGGAGTCTAATTCAAAAAATAAATTCTCCTTACCCTGGACCACAAGGCTGAACTTGCTTTGTTTCATTTCAGCATGGTTAGCAGCGATGCAGTAGTAGCGTCCTCGGTCCGACATACGCACTTCCTTAATGTGGAGTGTTCCATTCGGGTGTTGAATGAATCTATTAGGGTCTAGTTTGTCTCCTCCCTCCACGTCTTTACTCCAGCTTATTTTGGGCTTAGGGTCACCTGAAGCATTGCAGTGAAGCCAGATGTGGTCGTCGACATAAGCTGTTGTATTCTTTGGCCGTGTCAAAAATCTAGGATACACTGTTAACAGAGACAGTGACATCAATACTAAATCCTTCCCTATAAACGTTTTAGGTCACCTAAAGTAGTTGGATGTAACTGAGGGAAAGCTAACTGGGAGAAGGCCAGCAGTTGTCCCAGCCCCTCCCCCCCTTCCACCCCAGGTCAGCAGGGTGTGAGCAGGGGGGAACACCTGAGACTCAAGGTGGTTATGGGTAGCTACTTAAAATTCACGTTGGTTTCTTTTTTCAATTATTGTAGATCATTATATTTTGCAACCATAATATTACTACACATTCAAAGCTCAAGACAACTTTTGGATTTGTATCTCAAAGGTAAATAGAGGGTTAGCCCACGAGCACACTCCCCAGGCGAGCGAACGCGCGTCTCCTTTCACGTCCTACTCTTTCAAGACTTCTTGCCAAAATGGAGAGCTTGCTCGCAGGCATATACGAGGGTGTATTCACACTCCATTAAAACTCTTTGTCAAGGCTGCCATAAATTAAAAAATTCAGAATATTTTCTCAGTTTTCAAAGTGCTCTAAATAATTTGTAATTCAAATTTCCTTTGCCCTCCTTTGCGGACCACTCTATAGATGTACATGTATGTTGACTTCAATTTCTTCTCTTAGTGTTTTTCAAGAGATCTGGATTCTTTGGAGGGAATACATCAACTTAAGCTAAATTTTCCCCAATGTGAATTGCTGATCTGTGGAAATCAGCCTCGCTACATGCTTCCATGATCATCATTAATTTGTAGATGAGATCAAAATGTCATAACACTGCTCCCTCATGCACAACTACTATTTTCCTGTTGAGTGCCCTCCCCTACTTGAACTGCTCCACCTTATTTAATATTCAAGTCTGTAGCCATGATCATACTTAAATGAAGTCTACACGAGGACCTATTTGTCTTTTTACCAGCCTCTCCAATCTGGAGACTGTTTATGAAAACACGTTCGCCTCCATTCAAGTTTGAACAGAAGCCATAATCAAAGAAAGTTATACATTCACAAACTGTCTCTGTAAACATAGATGTACTTGTGTGGACGTAACTCAAGCTAAATACTAATCAAGAAGTCACATCTCAATAATCTTACCAAAAACAGTGATGTTAACGTAGCTTGTAAAGCTGCTAAATCCATTTCTACCAGTACACCAGTACGTTCCAGCATCTTCTTTTTCGACGCCGCTGAAAGTCAACACATTACTTGATTGGTTAATGCGTGGATTGTTTTCAATTTGGATTCCACTTTTCTTTAACCATGTGATAGTGATTGGCGGGTATCCTTCAAAGTCACACTCGATCTTCTGAGAAACGTGGAGGTTGGCATTTACAGACATGAATGGAATGCCCTTGAGCTTAACCTTACCTGAAAGCAAAGAAAATGCAGTTTATACCGAGATAAAGCATGTTAGTTTGAATTCAACAGCATAAGCAGCCATTTTACATCAGAGCAGCAGTGGCAATCAGAACATAAAAGAGAAAACAGATTTTATACAATGTACTTTTACGCCAAACCCATGCATCTCCCTCAAATGCATGAATGCAATGCAAAATTTCTCAAGTTACTTTTTACGGAGGATTTTACAGTCAAAGCGGCAAAACCATGAACATTTGAAATATTTCTGGAATGTTTACTGTGTCATTACCCTAAAACTATGGATCAGGAGGTCCATGGTTCGAACATCACCCATTGCATTGTTTCCTTAGACAAGGAACTTTACTTAAAGGATATTATTTATTCCACCGAAGAACCTGTCCTAAAACAAACTTCACTTACCTTTAACTACGAGTATGGCTTGTGCTTGGTCAGCCCAGCCTCCCGGGTGATCAGCCAAGCATTCGTAAGTACCATTGTCTGAGGGCTTGACCTTTGGAATCACCAGTCTTTTTCCAAGTCCACCATCAACTTCCTCAAAGATATGTTCACTGTCTTCCTGCACCTCTTTACGATCTTTCCACCAGGAGATTTTGGCTGGAGGGACAGACTTCACTGTGCAGTTTAAGACAGCCTTCTTGTCTTCCTTTAATGTCTGGTCATCAGGTTTCTGAGTAATTTGGGGTTGTTCTAGACAGCAGCAAATGAGAACATACATGTACTTTGCATGCAGTCAAAACTGTAAAATGTATTCTGTTGTGTTTATGTACCCATTAGTGCGTGTGTGAACAGTGATTAAAACCCTCACTAACTCGAACTCCCGAGAGATAAGACAAGTTTGTCTAACAAGAGGTTTAATTCAGAGGGGTTAAAATTAATTCACTAAAAACTGAGCCAAGGGAATTAAGTTTTCGGATCAATAAACATGCCTAAACTTTTGAAACTTTCCATTGCAGCACATTGGAATCAATTGGTAGTAACAATATTGATCGCATAATGCATGAATATAAACATTTTGTTAATCTGAAAAATTTACCAAAATATCTGTGATAAAATAGCTCTTACAGTTCTACTAAAACATTACGAAGCTTTCTAAACAAGGTTAAAAGAAGGAAGGTTAAGAATGTGACAAAATTTTACACATGCAGCTGTATGTTGTTGTCTGAAGTAAAATTTTCCAATTTGGAAATATCAGAGAGCGTTTCTTTTAAAGAAACGCTGTACCTTAGACCCGAAAAAATACACTGTACTGATTATGTTCAACGATTAAACGTAGTATAAATAAGTAGCATTATCAAGCTTACCAGACACAACTATCTGAATAGTCTTGGATTTGGTTACATAACCATTTGTTGCCACACAGGTAAAGTTTCCAGTATCAGTTAGTTTTGTTCTGTTTTTCTCAAGCGTACAACAGCCCTGCTTGATGAATTTTTTTGTTGGGAGTGCCTGGCCACCTTTAAGCCAATTGATGGATGGAACAGGTGATCCTTTAGGCTTCTTACACAGCACTTCTGTTTTGTCATTTTTTAGGATGTAGAGAGTAGATGTAGGGAATGTCACATCATCTAAATCTGCATGTTTAAAGATAAGTTTTGTTACTTAAAGTGTTCAGAATACACATGAAAGGAATGTGAAACATTTGTTGCCAGATTTTCCTACATTATCATGAAAGGAAACCAGAATAGTGATATTAAATGCCAGTTCTCGATAACGACGAAAAACCATAGGCCCCCTCTCACAACTCTTTCACTGTTCTGATTCGTGTGGGACATAAAAGTAACCACACTGCTGTTTATAAAGAGTAGGGGGTGTAAACCCCGGTGGTATGGTACAACCTTTCACGGGCTGGGTGGGTAATGAAGGGGTTGATATCAATTGGGATGCAAGTCCTGTTTCATCCCCTGTCACTGTGTTGAGTCGCTATGGTTAATTCAATAAAGTATTAATTAAAAGTGATGTAAAAAATTCTAAAATTCTAGTACTTATTACCACATAAACTTTCATAAGGTAAACATGGCTAAATAAAAGTAAGGCTACATGAAAGTCAAACTCGTGACATTGCTCCCACGTTGTTCGAGATCAACAAGGGTGTTCAAATAGCTTCACATGTAAGAAAAAGCTTCTCTGTCTCGGTCTGGCCGTTATGCTCCAGGTACTACGGCCTATAGTCTATCAGGAAAAGTGACTGTTACAACCCATGAAAATTGGCTTAAGAACTTTGCTGTTGCCCTGTCAACAGTAGGCAAAACAAAGACAAAAGAAATGATAATAAATTTATTATTATTATTAATATCTTTCTATTTTTTGATACTGACCACTATTGATGTGGGTTACTTACAAGCTAGTTCTAAAGTGGTATCCTTGGCGGTTTTGTTCACTAAGTTAGTAGCAGTACACTTGTACATAATGGCATCTTGGCTGTCAGCATTTTTAATCTCAAGCGACCCATCAGCATTAATACTGTATTTGGAACTGTTCTGCAATGGGTTGACATCACCACCAGCATACCAGTTAATTATGGGTGTTGGATTGCCAATTGTTTTACAGGGAATCTTTGCCGATTTCCCTTCTATAACCCAAGATGTTGCTGGAGGCGGTTGCAGGAACTGAGGATGCTGCCCAACTGGAACAAGACAAGAACATGAATTAAAATTTGATTCAGGGTAAAATACAGATCTGGCCAATTCTGAAATTCCAATAATTTATATGTACTGATCCACTGATGCTAACATCTAGAGATGTAAAATCTAGGAACTGTCTCCTTTGTGGTACACATCACCCTTCTCCCATACCCATATCTGGGAGATTTTTATAAAATGTTTTTCCACGAGAGTTGGCACATACATGTATTACTATATTCACCTAATACAGCCTTACAACATGACCAAATTTCTATGGCTTATTCACTGGTAACAATATTGATAGGATTCAGCTTTACTTTTACATGGTACCATTAATCCTGCTTTTTTCAAAACCCTTCCTTTTTACCTGGTACACTGAACTGTAAAGCAGAGAATGACGGGATGCTTTGTCCTTCTACATTATACATAAATCTTTGGATGAAATCCTATGATGTTACCATTCAAATGTAGCCTATCTGGCAGAACTTTGGCATAGGGCTGTTTTTTTTTTATCAGGATTTTACAAAACGATAACATGAAAAGACGGTGAATTTTAAGCTTGGTGAACAAATGTGAAGATGAAATAATCAGCATGTCATGAGCGTGGGACAAAGAAAAAACTCTGAGTCTCCGACTCAGGAATTTATGTGAATTTTTTCCTTTGACTGCTATTCAGAGTGAGAACAGTAATTTACAAAATAAAAATGGGGATTTTTTGAACATACCAATGACAGAGATGGATAATGGTGAATCTGGCGTTTTGGTAACAGATGATGGTGAAGATGCTGTGCATGTGTAACTCCCGCTATCCTCAGTAGTTGCATTTTTAATGAGGACCTTGTTACGATCCACTGTGATGTGTCCACCTGAATTTAGGGTAGCACCATCTTTTAAAAATGTGTATGTTCCAGATGGGTTCATATAGCACTTGCATCGTATTTGTATATCACTTCCAGTTAGGAATAAACTACTGCCAGATTTAACAATTATCTGTGCTGTTGGACAGACCCCTGTAAAACAAATAATAATAAAACTGCAGGTCCATTTATGGCTCATCAGGGCTTTAACTAACATAATTATGTACTTGAATAAGCACCATGACACTTATAAAATTCTCCATGCCTCAAATGAGACACTTACTCGAGGGAGCAGCTTATTTGAGAGTGGCATTTGGTATTATCATATTCGGTTTTAAAATATAAGAATCAACGTCCTTTGATTTTGATTATATCAGGGCCGTGTAGCTTATTCGGATTTGGGGCAGTGCTTATTAACTTTTCTGTCCCAGATGGGGCCCTTAATCAGGGATGGCCCTTATTTGAAAAAATACATGTATTAAAACTGGCATCAATGCATCTTTTCTGTACTAGAAACCAAATCCTGCAAATTACACTGCCACATTAGTCAGCAGGATAAATCATCACATTGTATTATTGAAATGAAGACCTTGTAAATTTATGACATTCAAATAAGATAAACCTGTGGTAGCAATGGGCATTCAGTCAGTCAATCCTTGACTGAGAAGGGCTCGAAAAAGTTGAATTACAGCAGAAGCAGCTCTAACATTTTGCTTGATCAGGACCACTTCTTACTCGTCTTATTTAATGATTTTGTTAGAGGATGACTTGCCTAGACCTCACACATTGGGCAAGTAAGCTCTAAAAGTAACTTGCGCGATGAAAATAATATTAGCAGACACAACCCACACAATGTCATTAACTGTTCACCTTATGGTGCAAAGATGGTATTTGCAGAACAGCTGTACGTAATTAAGTTTTGACTTTAAAACAGGCTTTTGCCAGATTTATCATAATTATACACAATGACTGCACTAACTGGTGAATTTTCTCAGCTTTAAACAAGAGGATTAAATTTCAGAGACCTTAATCCAAGATTAGTTCTAATCTACTTTAATCCCACCCACCCAGACTAAAAATATCATTATTCAGAGATAAGTTTGCAGAGGAACCAATATGCCTCTATACAAAGCCTAAAAATGATCCAGATAAGAACATACTATACTTCTGTCTGTTTAAACAACAATGTTTACAAGAATTTCACAGAGCAGGATGTGTACATGTATTTTACCTCTAGATTTTCAACTGACTGCTTTGTAACACAATCTCCTCTCAATCTAAATCACAGAAATACTATATTGGAAACATCTGAATTGTAAACTTTTCTTGGCTATTGTTTGCAACTCAACTAATGGGTTTGAATTCTTTCAACACCACGAAATATCCTCACAAATGAGGTAAAAATACATCTTATTTTGTAAACTGTTTTTCTTTTTCTTGACATTTGCGAGAAAATGGAAACATTCTTGAGTGGAAAAACTATTTTGCCATATAACAAAGAATGCTAGAGGTCCTAGGACTATCATTACATAATATTTTATATGTTTCACACATTAGCACCTGGCAATAATATTGCTATTATGGGTAACCTTCATGTATCATACATGATTAAGCCCTAAGAGTGATCAGCATGAAATTTCTCCTTATAATATCAATGCTGTAAAAAACTGAGTGGTCATGAGAATTGAGTACATGATCCTGGAAGATGAATGTAATAATTATTTTACTGATATTTCAACAAATTCTCCCCACTACTTCTATTGAAAAAGTATAAGGACATTAAATGAGCATTTCAATTTTGATATTAGGGTTTAACCTTTTAAACCCCAACATCAACATACATCTTCTCCACACTGTTCTTCATACATTCCTTATGGTACTGCTTGAGAGAATATGCGCTAACATCACAACATTTCATCTTTGGTGATCATTTCATTAATTCCCATTACCTGTCTGTTTGATCAGGCAGTGTTATTGTTGGGAGAAATTAGACGCTGGTCATTATTGGGGCTTAAAGAGTTAAGAGGTTAAGCAGGGGGAAATAGGTGCCAGTGTCGGTGGTTTCACATTATTCTAAAGGCATCAAATAAACTTAAAAAAAGACACACTACACAGCTGTCACACAAAAAAAGTGGCGTGACAGCCTAGCTGTTTCCTCAGCGGCAAGATAATGGCAGAAGATTTCACATGTTGTGCAATGACAGAATAGCCAGACTGCGGCCTCAAAAATCTAGCAAAAATGACATAAATACCACTTGACAGATGATAACTGAGCAAATCTGCTAGAACAACCTAAACTGCCAAAAAACAGGCAAATGCTTTGAAGATAAGAACTTAACATAGAGGTTAGCACATTTGGAGCAAAGGTTATTTTCTAGACCAAAACAGTGGAATTGAAAATTATACTATTGGCAGAACTTTTTGATGCATACCAAATAGCTATTACATATACATTTTTTTCATGAAGATTTTTACATTTGAATGGTATTTTTTTAGTATTTCATCTTTGTACCTGAACCACGATGCAAATAACTGGTTTTTCTTTAAGTCTTATTTAACTGCGTCAACTTGAGACCTTGATTGAATATACACTGAAACAATCAATTTTACTTTTTTTTCTTCAAAGGACATGTCTTGTCTGTTCACAGAACCTCTATTTTCTCTTCATAGATCATTGCGAGATATCATATTATGTGGTGTTCCAACGTAATCAAGGACGCATTCAGCCTCTCTACTAAAAATTACTGTGCATGAAGAAAAGTGTGACTGGCAGGTAGATTGAATACTACACTGTATCCTGTATTCATTGCAATAATGTTATTTTGTTGATACAACAATTCACTGAGCACACCCAAGGTAGATTATTCTACTCTTTAATTTGGTGTATTAATTTTGTCCAGACATTATGTCCGACCACATTTAAGATTTCGTCAAACATGGGCCAATTCCCAATAACTGCCTGTTATTTGCAGCTTAGCTGTAACCCTCCAATTCACATTATCTCCTATGGTGGCACATTACGAACTTATGTGGTAACAATTTAAATGAAACCTTCCTATAATGTACATTACAGCTGGGGCATGTTTGATAAACAGTATTTCTGAATAAGAATTTACAGAATAAGCTCTGGAAAAATTAATCATTTGCTTGAGGATTCATTGCATTGGAATATCTAGAAATCAATTTGATATAAAAATTCCAATGAATGTAGTGTTAAAATGGTATAAAAAATATCATGGCACAAGAGATTTGTACCTAGAATTTTTCGGTGTTCTTATTCCGGAAAACAATCAATGATATGCGGCCAAAATTTCATATGGCAGTATTTTTTTGTCTTTAATTGAAGACTTATCTAAAATTTTGACGATGGGAATGATTAATCTCTGAGGTGGAAAAAAGTTCAAGAAATTAGAAAAATGAACAAGCTGAAGGTCAAAAAATAATTAAATTTGATAGTTATAAAATCACTGTAAAAATTTGCATTTAACTAAATTTAATGACAGAAAAAATTTTCTTGGACACAAAGAATAAGGATTGCAATGGGGTCGTCACTAAAAGAAAACAATCATTTAAAAAGATCTCACAACTAAATTCAACAACATCAATTTCATTTTACAACTCCGACGATCGAGTGGTGTTGATCATTAGTTCTTGAATACGGTTCTCTTTATCGGAACGCATATTAAAGTCCTTCTAATGAGGATGACTTATCTCACATAATGGCAAAAAAATTCCTTTCACAATAAGTTTTTTTGAGCATGCACTGAAGTCTAAAAGTGTGCCAAGTCTCAGTGACTTCTTTTTGTCATCACATTTTTCTTCAAGCCCTCAAAGCAATCTCCCAAATCAAATAATAATTTATTTACACTGGCAAACCTCCCGGCGCTTTTGAGAGATCTCAAGAACAGCTGTCAAACTGCAAACATGGGAGTTGTTTCTCGCATAATGCATAAAGTCACTAATACAGATAAATTATTCAAAAGTTAAAAGGGACAGTGATTTCGGTTAAAAGAACAAGTAACCCTTTAAGACGTGATGCAGGAAATAAGTTTACAAAATAATAATTATTGACAACTCACTCAAGGAGACAACCAATACAGCTTCAATTGTGAAAATGGTTGATTAGACGGGAACACTCAGACAGCGCGGCATTGTAGATCTTATCTTCAATCAAACATAATAAGCTTTAAAAACGAAGTAGTTTTTGTGGCACTTACAAAAAACCCCCTCAAGAGAGAAAAATATATCAAAGATGCGCAAAAATACCTACTGAAACTACCTCAGCAGAATTCTTTGTATCATTCCAAACGAAAACTTGATCCGAAGAGGAAAAGCTATAAGATTACCATTTTACCGCAAAGTATGTCAAATTTCTGCCCTTGCATTACTACACATCAATCGCATTTAGAGAATTTTCCGTCAACATGACGAACCTTAAACTTTCAATTGGATTTATACCCAAACCAACATTAAAATGTCCATTGTCTGGGCCAAGTGGAAAATATTACATCAACTAGAACTTTAAACAGAAGTGCCAACAAACACCACAAATCGGCACAATGGAGTAAACAACGAATAGAACCACCACTTGCCATCGATCGCGTAACTTCACTCAAATTTGAACAATACCGCAATTCAAAGACAGAGGTCTGAACTTAAAAACGGATATAAGCACACATAATGGACTTGAGGCGGACACATAAAAGCAACTTGTTGATTTCTGTTCGATGTTAAGTACTTTGATACCATGATAAATACACAGGGCGCAAATGAAAGTGTAATTTGCAGCAGCCACAAGAAGATTTTTTTACGGAGCTCTGCAAGACACTGATATCATTAAACTGTTTATTACAGAAACATGCGGAGCTTTAGAATAATTTCACCACGCGTTCTGTCTTCACAACTGTTTTATTCAATGCCCCAGGCAGAGAAATTGAAAACATCCTCGCAGAGATTTCGGAAATGTACAAGGAGATGAAAGCCGCGGGGAAAATTTTAACGCCCTGAAAGACTCTCGTGATTGAAGCTTTGTTAGTCTTGATGTAATCTTACCTTTGACATCTAGCGTTGCTGTATTGCTTTTTCCGAGGATTTTAGTTCTACCTGGCCTCGTGACATAACACTGATAGGTGCCTCGATCGTCGAGCTGTGTGTCCGTTATTTCTAAAGTGCCGTCAGCTGATTTTATAGTAAACCTAGAGTTTGTCTGAATAGTTTTATTGTCGTGGGACCAGTTATACTCTATTTTTTTATTTTTAGTAACAGTCGCTGCGCATCGAAATGTCAAAGTAGCACCCACGTTTACAGTTTGTGAAGATGGCTGTTCATCCCATGTAATAGTCAACTGTGAATCCGTAAGCGATGAACCTAACAATAAAACACAACGTTAAAAATTAAGTTTGCGCTATGCACGTTGCACCAAGTTTTACAAAACCCTTAATGTTGAGGACAAAGATAAGTTTAAGTTGAATGCAAGTTTCTGAACAGCAGAAGCGACCCTTGCCACTAAGATTTTTTTCTGAAAAATTATAAACACACACTGCACTTTGAAATTAGGATGATTAGAAAAGCGTCCATTTAATTATTTTTTTCCAATCCGATTTGAAAAGAATAAAAATGAAGATAAGAGACAAAGAGAAAGCCGACGAAGTACATTGCTTTCCTCCATATTATGAACGGGCGACAACTAACTGCCCTAATCTTGGAATTCGTTGCCTGCATATCACCTTCAAGAGCTTGTTAAACATATAATTTAAATACCAGCATCCTAGAGTTATTTTTCCACTCAAGAAATGGCAGAATTACTGCCGTGAACGAGACGATTTCCAAATAGCCATGCCCGGATGGAGTTCAATGGCTTTGAGGTATAATTTAGGAAGTATGCTTACCTAACAAGACAAAATAAAGCCAGGCCCAAAAACACGAAAATCGAACAAGGTGCCTCTTAGATTTGAAAAGCAGATCCATTACGTCGTTATCTCGCCAAAGAGAACTTCATACAAAGCATAAACGCTCGACGACACAAATCATTCGCGGCAACAGAAGAAATCTTTGCCGAAATTCGACCGCTTTTTGGGCTTGAACGCTAGATTGACATATATCACGTGGTAGTCATTCTTTATTGTCCCTTGCGGCCGGAAGTGAGACTAAACCAATCACAGCACTGCATTTAGCGGCACTCTGGACCTGCAGCGGAAATGGATTTCCACGAGTTTTGTGTGAATCAGACAAAAAAGAGATATTCGCTCTCTTTTGTTCGCCTTTTGTAATCTCCACACCCTCGCATGACTCATACCTTATCCTTACCGCATTTGCTTAAATATTTTCAACTTCTCTAATTAAAAGCGACAATAAGTTAAGCCGCAAACGATTTTACCGACTATATAAGGCCTAATTTGACCCTGGGAGAGAGAATGATTTCGAGTAAAATTATTGCTTGCGGTGAATTTAAATTGCGATAGTCATCCGAATATTTTTGTCTTCTTGATCTCAAGCAAGTTTATTCGTGTCTGGTTATTCGACAACCTCGTCTCCAGAGTTCTCCGAAACATCTGATCTCAGACGTAATTTCCTGTAGAAAACTACTTCTCAATTTTCAAACCAACAAACATTGTATAAGATGTCTTCAGGTTGCCACACGTATATTTTTCATGTATTTTTTTATGAGCCGAAGGAAGTATCATTTCACTCCATTTAAAACAGTGCGGTTTGTTACCCTTAAGATAAGCAAGCACCTATCATTAAAATCCAGTACTGTAAACAAGATTGCAGTAGTATTGTTCGTTGGCGACTGAGAATATTAATAAAAGTGTTTTCGGTTTCCTCTTGACTAATAAGATGATCAACCGCCAACGGCTTCCGTTTTTTTATTTTTCAAATTCTCGAAGTTCTTCCATAGACATAAAGTTCTTCTCAAAATTTCTGTACGGGAAATTATATAGAAAGTTTACGTGTACAAACAGGGAAAGTAAGCTGCGGCTAAATCCGGCGATTGTTGCACATTGTAATGCTCGTGCTCGAGGTCGGAAAGAGGATTACACGAAATCTTCCAAACAACCATGAAGTGCACACGTGAACTAACTCATCCATATATCGACATATCACGTTTTGAGAAAATGCGTATGAAATTCGACATTTGTAGAAAACAATACAATCACTTCTAGTTCAAAGCGATGGTTCGCTTTCTAACGCAGGCAGAACATTTCAGATTTTGACCTCTCATTCTTTAGATGTTTTATGAAACCTTATAGAGGGTCAAGTTTCAATGGAAAGAAAAATCGAAAAGGTCAAATGTTTTCGCAGGATCATGAACAAACCCGAGGCGAGGCGTTACCCAATGCCTACGTCACAGTCACCCCACCACCATTTCCGGCATAACGTCAAGTACCGTAATTTCCCCTTGATATCATATGATGTAAAAACTGGACAAACGAGAATACGTAGTTACAGCCATTTCATAGGTGATCGTTTCAAAAGAAAAGCAACTAAAAGCTGTTTATTTGCTTGATTGCACGTTATCTTTCTTCAGTTTCCTTTGTGCGGTCTTGTTTGCTTGAGTGTATATTGCATTTATCGAAACCCGGTTCCTCATGGACTTGGGCATTGGGCACAAGAACTTGGGAAATGCAAGCAAAACAAGACACAACAAAACGCATCATGCGACCGATGAAAAAACAAACAAACGAACAAGAGCATGCGGAAGTCCTCACTATTTGTTTAAATACTAAGTCCCGTTGCTACTTGTTTTCATGAACCTTGATCTAACAAGCAGCATAGAGAAAAAAAATATATATCACTGATTCTTACGTAACTTCCTTTTGCCGAAAGTCAAGGAAGAACGGACCAGGTCAACCCCGCCCAAATCACTATTAAGGTGAGGGAAAGCGCATAAGCGTTTTTTGAGACAAAGGCGGGGAAGGCTAGGCTCATAATCAGAGGCATATGATGCCTCTGTCATAATTCAATTTTGGAAGCAAGGACCAACGTTACAAAAAAGACAGACCGGATTCCAAGAAAGGATCTAATCCGCTTTAAGTTGAAATGTCGAACAAAAGAAGCAAGCGGGGAAGCAAGGCTGATTTCAGTTACAGTCGGGAATATATATTTTTTGTTACCAATATTTCAGAAGGCACGGCCTTCCTTCTTCAGGATCTTACATAGAATGATAAGGTTAAGCTAAAATGTTTTTTAAAACATTTTATAGCGTGCAAAATGATACTACAATAACACGTGAAAAATTAAATAAGGAAAAAGTGAACGTTAAAAGTATATCAAAACAAAAACAGTTGCATGAAGCAGTGAGGGAAATATCTCTACTTAGACGGTTTTTGTTTTCAGTATGCTTTCAACGTTCACTTTTGTATGATATTACAATAACACGTGAAAATTTAAATAAGGAAAAAGAGAACGTTGAAAGCATACTGAAAAGAAAAATTGTTGATATGCCCATAATGAAAGTTTACAGTGGGGCCGGCTAGGCTAACCTGTGATCAGGGGATCTTTATCAGTTTTTTTGTTTGTTTGTTTGTTTCTTCTGTTTTTCGGGTAGAAAAAGGAAACAAGGACCGCCCCAAAGATCGGCCCTTTGCACGAGTTGATCACAAGATCAACTTTCGGTTCAGCTATATAAATGTTTAGCGATTGCAACGGCCGCCGAAAATTAGAGGGATTTGTATGGGAAAAACAACTCTTGTCACCCAGTCACGTTTAAATGGTTTTCCATACAAATCCTTGTAAATTCTAAAATTTTTAATACAAAATGTCGTTAAATCTTTTCCTTACGCATGCTCAAATTGCCTGTTATGAATTAAAAGGAGATTTGAGCCCCGTAGTATTTCATGACAGTTTTGAAAATTTCGAAATTTACAAGGATTTGTATGGAAAACCATGCAAGCGTGATAGGCCATTTGCACTAAGAGGTCATGTGGGAGGGTCATGTCTTAAACAAAATAATAGTGATTTGGTTTTTCAAACCCGCACCAGGTAAATGGTCACGTGACCAAAATGTGATTTTTATGAATTACCTCTTTCTGAACACAAATTTTGCACTTAAACTTCAGGGAAAATGTTGAAAAGATGATGTGGTAACGTTTACAGCACATCTGAGCGTAACTATCAAACATTTAACACTAAGTAAAAAGTGGTTTTGGCCGCCATGTTGGAGGGCAAGAGTATGCTCTCCAACATGGCGGCCAATACAAATCATACTACTTTGTTGAAAAATCAAAGTGCCATAAAATATCTCCCTTAAATGCATTTCCTTCCAAATTTCGGGTGTAAGATAATTTTTATGTGCTCTGTCAATTTTTGGCATCAGTGTCGGGAAAGAAATAGGTGATGCTTAACTTTATTATTTTGTGGTTAAATATTATTTGTAGCGCAAAGATTTCGTGACATTAGATTTCACAATAATGTAGACAAAGTCCGAGTATATTTACGATATAAAATGATGTAACTGCATGCATTTTCGTAGGCTAAATAAGGTGAAAGAACGTGCGATTTTGTAATAGTCACTTAATTTAGATACATTACAATGAGAGCTTTTACTGTACATGTGATTAATGTAAAAATACTACCTTACGCAATGATAGAAGAAAAACCACTGTATACTTAGAATGTTTAAGTTGACATTTTATCGTTTAGTTACGTTGATAGTTGATCGTTGTGTTACGACCGTTGAATATGTGGGAATTATACATCGCAGTAGATTGTTGGATTGCATTAAATCGCGTTGTTACATCGAAAGATACAGTCCTCTTGATTTGTTTGAACCAGTGGAGCGGGGTTAAAAGAATAGGCCATTTGCACTAAGAGGCATGTGACATCGTTTTTATGAAAATGAAAGTTACATGATTTTGCCTTCGAAAAACGATTAGTGGGTCATATCGTAAACAAAATAATAGTCATTTGGTTTTCCAAACCCGCACCATTTTCTCAAAATGAATAAGTTCGTAAATGGTCACGTGACCAAAATGTGATTTTTAAAATTATGAATTACCTCTCTCTGAACACAAGTTTTGCACTTAAACTTCAAGGAAAATGTTGAAAAGATGATGTGATAACGTTTACAGCACATCTGAGCGTAACTATGAAACGTTGAACAAGATATAAGCAAGAAGTAGTTTTGGCCGCCATGTTGGAGGGCAAAAGCATGCCCTCCAACATGGCGGCCAATACAAATCATACTACTTTGCTGAAAAATCAAAGTGCCATAAAATATCTCCCTTAAGTGCGTTTCCTCTCAAATTTCGGGTTTAAGATCATGTTTGTGTGCTCTAACAATTTTTGGCACCAGTAAGATTCCAACTCATTGTTTAAAGGCAGCATTGGTCACGTGACCTCTTAGTGCAAGTGGCAACAATCAGTAAGATTCCAACTCATTGTTTAAAGGAAGCATTGGTCACGTTACCTCTTAGTGCAAGTGGCCTATTGGGTGACGAAAATTTTTTTTCTCATACAAATGCTTTGAACTTTCGGCGGCCGTTGCAATTGCTACTTTTGAGACATGTATACGGCTGAAATTCAAAATTCTTAGGTTAACTCTTTTAGCTTGTGCTAACAAAATTTTTCAAAAGTGAACTGTTTTCGTGTTTACCGAAAGGGACCGTAGCCTGTGTAGCAAGCGGTTCCAATCGAATTATTGAGCGAAAGTTAGAGCGGGGAACCCAATTAGGCCCTCAGTAAGAGAAAGATCCACTTATCAGTCCAGACCCTGAAAGAAGTGTGGGACTGGGCTAGAAATAATGGTGCTGTCGTTTATGAAGTGATTCACCAGTCCTTGTAAGTTTTTTTAACAGTCTAGACGAGTTCCAGCACCTAATTATAACCTTGGAGTTCCTTTTTTTGCCTGATGGAAGGGACCAAACGACTCTCCTATTTGAAAGGGCGGGCCAAGTATTTTGGTATCAGTGGTGTGGCCGAAACCAGACAACGAGATTACATAAGTGCAACTGTCCACTTTTTGCACTATTTTTCAAAAACTAGTGTTTAAGAAACTGGAGCCAATCACTTTCGAGAATTTTGTTCTTATTTTGAGAAAAAATTTCGCGCCACCTGTGGTGGTCTAGGCTGTGTCTAAGGCGCAAAAAGGCGATGGTAGGGGAGAGGGAAAAAGCAAAAGGGAAATCCCCCTCCCTTTAATATTTTCCCCTCCTTCTCTACCCATGCGGCAATCAGGTTACACAAGGCCGAACAGTTTGAGCCACAGTGCAAATATGGAGACGAAGATGGAAAAAGATAACGACGAAGCCCGATCTTGAAAGAGAAATCTCGGATACGTTTCTGGGAAACTGCCCACCTACCCCTCCCCTAAGCCGACGTTTTGCCCTGAGTGAGAAGCGCGTGAGTAAGTATTAGATAAGGGGAGGGAGATGTCAATGCTTTGGAAGCTGGGAATCGGGTATATATAAAGAGTCTTTTAGAGTAAATGAAGTTGATCACTACTGCTTAGGCTGCCCTGGTTACCTTTAGATATGTAGTTGCCTTGCGTATTATGTTTTTTTTTCGTTGTGCGCCTTGGTTAACCTCTCCGCTTGTACGCCGGTCATCCCATCATAAAATGACCGTTCAGTGGTCTGCTACATTAAGATATACGCGTTAGTCATTAGTCCGCTAAAACTAGGTCAGGGCTTAAATCATTTCCTGATTGTTACGCCATACTGATCTAGAATAATAGCAAAACAGCTGTCTTTGGCTACAATCCCGCTCTGTTTTGAGTTCTTTCGGTGTCGTGTTGATGTCTTGCAAAGTTAGTCTTCAGGTAATTTTCAGTATTCTGCATGCAGCTAGAATTTAATGTCTACTTGTTATTTTTACTGATCAGGTCTTAATAGATCCTACCTTCTGCGGCATATTTGTCTGCGGTCCTTTGCAGTCCTTTGTGGTTAATGTTCGTACTAAATAAAATGGACTCGATTTCCAAAAATACACCACAAGCCTCGAAAAAATCGAGACTCGAGGAGGACCACACAAAGAGGTCAAAGGTCCCGGGGGGGGGGGGTACTCCCATACATTACCTATGCGGGTATGTGCCGCCCAACGGGGTCGTAATTTTGAAGCTCCTGGTTTAGAACGGGGTATCCATTTCAGAGGCGTTTTCTAGAACGGGGTATAATATTTCGAACGTACGAAAACTCCAGTTTTGTAAGCAGCCATTTGAAATTATTCAAGGACAGATTGCTTTCAAAAATACGGTTCAATGCGTTAACAAGCAAACTGTTATACTCTTGTTGCACCCTAGAACGGAGTATAAAAAATTGGCCCATTTCTAGAACGGGGTATCAATTTTAGGGGAAATTTTTTTTAGAACGGGGTGCCAATTTGGAGTCCCGGGCGGCACATACCCACCCAAGAAATACCCAAGTGTTCCCCCCCCCCCCGGGTCAAAGGTATACGAAAGGGGTCCCTTTTGTCAAAAGTGGTATATAAAAGGGTAAGGGGCTGGGGCAAAATCTCGGATGCGTTTGATGCAGACAACTGTCACAACTTTTAGAACACAACTCTCGGCTCCGAAGTCTCCTAACTCCCTTGTGCTAACAACTCCCACAAATGTCATCTTTTGAATTACTCTCTGGGTGGATAACTTCTTCTCCAATTTTTTCTTCTATGAAAACCAAACTCTGTGAATGATACATGACGATCATATTGACTAATTGATTACCGCTGACTACGCTGAGCTAATTGTTTGAGTATCTGGGGATCTCCACCACTCAGATGCGCAGATTAATTGCGGCAAGACCGACTAAAATCCTGCGTTCTAAGGTGCTACTGATTAACTTTAGCTCTAGCTTTGGTTTTTTCTCGTGTTTGATGAAAATGGATAGACTAGAAATCACTGGAATGAGAGTTGAGCCTTGTGTGAACTCACGCTTCATTCAGCCTTCCAGAGTTGTCTTCAATCAGGTCAGTACTGTCAAATAAAGATTTCAAAACGCCTTTCGAAAATAATAAACACACTGGATAAACTTCGGAATACCCGGCCAATTATTTGCACCTCGCTATTTAACAATACTGTGCAACTGTGTTATGGGGGTAACGCTTCGCTCTTTGAGGGCCCCTGTTGAGGGCCATTCCAATCTTGTACCAAGAGTCCTCTGGCTTTGGTACGAGATTGGGGCTATTCTATTTATATCCCCCTCCCACAATGGATGACATTTTCTGAGAGGGTCTTCTTCAGTTTTTTTTTCTGATGGGGGGGGGGGGGGGGGGGGGGGTGGGCAGGTTTTTTTGCTTTTTTTTTTGGGGGGGGGTGGTGTGTTTTTTTTTTTTTTTTTTTTGGGGGGTGGGGGGGGGGGGGGGGGGGGGGGGGGGGGGGGGGGGGGGGGGGGGGGGTTGAAATTAAGAGAAGTTGTAGGTTGATCTTATAGATGGAGATGTGTGTAAATGCTGTTCTTGGGCGTCTGTTGACTGGGCTGCTTTCGCGATTTTCTTACGTTTTTTTGCTTGTTGTCTTGTGTATTTTTTTGTGCTGTTTTTTTAGGGGGAGATGGGGGGTGGGTTGGGGGGGGGTTGGGGACAGGGTTGGGGAGGTGGCTATTAAGTAAATAGCCCTGAAGCATTTCATAAGGTGACAGAGTATTCTGAAGTTGCTTCACAAAAAAATTATTGTCTAAGGTTTTTTTATGGAACAGATTATACAGAAGAGTAGCAAACTTTTTGTAGAGTAATGGGTTGTAAGTGTGGGTGGATGGGATGTAGAAATGTTTGTCATTTTTAGGGTGTAGGACAACATACCCATATCACACCACCCTGGCAAAATGTTTATTGAGTACTCCTTCCCTTCCCTTCTCAGGCAATTGTTTCTGAAGCCTACATTCTGGCTCAGACCCTTTACTGTGGCACAAAATTATTCGCAAAGTACAGAAGCCATGTGATGCCTTGACCCTGAAGTCAAGCTATAGAAATTTGGCAAAGCTTAGCAAAATACTTTAAAGTTAAGGTTGTGACTTTCACTGTTCAAAGTTTAATATATTACCAATCCCAATTTCTTACAAAAATCCTGTCAGGGGTAGAGAAGACCTTACATAGTATTACTTACCAGTAGTGTTGTTTTTACGATTCCAACTTATAAACACATCTGTAGGACAGTTTTAACATTAATTAAGACTTTCTTTCTATTTTTGACAAAGAATGGTCTTTCCAGAGAATGGGACTATATCAAAGAACATGATGAGTATGTCTTTTGATGAATAATCACATAATATAAGTTTACCTCTTAAACTGTTCATATTATATGCATTATTCTGAAATTACTAGAACCCTTGGAGAGTTGAGGCAAGCTTCATATAACTGGCTAGAGCACTGACAACTAAGGGCCAAAAATGTAAACATTTTAAGAATATATATTTAACAATTAATGAATGAGGCTGAGTATCTTAAAAAGAATTATGGAGATCAAGGAGGTTGTTATCCGTCGAGGCCATAGGCTGAGCCGGATAACACCCTTCGAGATCTCCATAATTCTTCATATGACATGAAAGCTGAATTCAATAATTGTTTTATTATTCATTCAAAATAATTCCTGGTTTACAAACCACCTAACACGTGCTTACCTCCAGCGATCCATCTATGTTAAGTTCATCTACGATAGTGCACGTTTAGGGTTGTTCAGCTCCGCAAATATTCTCCAAATAGCATACGTTGCCCTTTGAGTTGTCTTCTTGCTGTTCTTGCCATGTTTTTAGTTATTTTTTGGCCTAGTTCTTACTCTTGAAACGAGTGAAATGTCCGCCATTTTTCAAGTTCACAACCAAAACAACTCAACCTGGTCCCTAGGTCTTCTCGTTTAACGGTGCATCAACCTGCCAGAACGCTGCATTTTTGACGTCATTTCCTCGATAAACATAAAATTTTTTTTGGTCATCAGTAACTGGTTATGGTGAATTAAACGTGTGCTTTTAGCTAATCAGAATCAGGGAAATATTTTGAATGAATAATAAGTTGTACTTAATTTTTTATCTCAGGTAATTTTTCTTTTTCTTTTGTTTTCGGGTATGTTAACGTATGCTAATGGCGTTGAAACAAAAGAAAAATGAAAGTTACCTGAGATAAAGATCAACTACAACAATTATACTTAAAAATACTATACAGCCAAACTGGGTTTTCTTTCTTACTCCTTTCTACACTCTCTCAATGACTTAAAAGTCAAAATAAGGACAATGTCTAGAAAGTCTGGACAATTTCATTGAATTATTTTATTTTGTTGAATATTAGAATGGTCGGGAAAGAAAATGGGACTATCTAAAAGTTCATGATAGGTATGTGAAAGTTTAATAACATGTAAACTGGTGAATGATGGAAAAGTTTAACTCATGAGTCACTCAGTCAAAATCTTCAGTACCATGTACACTATTATTTTTAGTGCTTGGAATAATAATTACCCGAAATTCCAAGTGATTACATAATATCCTGCAATAAAAAATGAAATCAAATTCGAGTTAGAATACTGGTAATGTTATCAAAGATGTATCTTTAGTTTCCTGTATACGTTTTGTACATGTTACATAGGTGCAATCATGTAAATTTCAACTGCGTTGGAAGAACTTCTCATTGTCATGCAGTACTATCGATAATAATATTATACCAAGAAAACACAACATCATTGATCAACAGTGCATTATTATATACCTGAGGCAACCTTGTCTACAGGGTCTTCTGTTTTCTGATATGGTGGCGACATCGCTACATTGGAAAAGCAGAAGACAGTGGGGATAATGTTGTGCCATAGGCACCCCTGTTGATTAAAGACAAGTGACCAAAAATGCTGCAAAGAAAACAAAAAATCTTACACGTTAAGATCTGTTAATAATGATTATAAAGGCATAAATAATGGTTACAAAACTCGAGTCTCTTCAGTATTCAATTCAATAAGAAAGGTTCAGCAGTTTTTTGACAATGTTTGCAAGAAAAATTCATGGTCTAAATAACCTGATGACTGTGTGTTTCCTTCTTACAGTGTGTGTGCACTGCTATTCAACACAACAAGGCAAGCTTTTATACTAGTAAAGCAATTTCGACCTGGTAAGTTGACAATGTGACAGCTGGGTTAGATTACTACGGTTTTCAATAACTCACAAACTCTGTCGGGACCTTCAAAAGCCAACCAATGTTTTTGTTCTTCACTGCTGTCAACCATCTTAGCAGACCTCTCACGAAACAGAACTTTTACTTCAACAAGTTCAAATGTTTATGGTTTTTCATTTGTGATTGGTGGATTTTGATCGATTTTGTGTTTCTGTGTATCAGGGTCCATTGCTTGGGATAGCACAGTGAAATTAATGATTGATGGCAGTGAAAGACACAATTGTAAGCTGGCTATTGAATGTCAGATTTCATGTGTTATTGAAAATCACAGTAATCCAGAAGTTGTTAAATAATTAAATGAATATTACAAAATGGTTTTATGGTTCAATTTTACTTTTTTTTGAGGCAATAGTGTCATTAGTTTCACCAAAACATTTTCATTGAACTTGACTTTTGAATACTTCTACTGAACAAGTCATTGAACTCTAGCATGTGATAATTAATTAATGTAACCATTTTCAATTGCCAATAATTAGCCTTGATTAGCCCACATTTTGCATACTGTGACCATTGTTTTGAGTATCTCCTGGGTAATACAGTCATCCCAAGAGAAAATGGATAACCAAAATGCCGATACCTTATTATAGGAAATTAACGCTCCATGAAATTAAGGTATTGGAAATTAACGTGAATTTAACAGGAAACGACTTTCGAATAAAGAAAATTACCGCGAAGGAGGAGGTAGAATTTCATAATAAAGGAAATTAACGCGATCAATTACGCGAAATCAAAGGAGAAGATATTGACATCACTTCTGACAGCGACAACCGTGAAGATGAACTCGAAATATTGTAAACCTTCGCCTTAGCTTTTGTGAAAGATGAAAAATAAAGGGTAAATGGAAAGAAAGAAAGCTTGTAGTTAATGTTTTTAGGTGTCAAGAATGTCTGGACAGGTTCCAAAATTGGGTTTAAAATACTGGAAATTAAGAGCGCGGAAATGAACGCTGCACTTAATTAACGTCGCAGAAATTAACGCTCAACAAAATTAACGCGACTTAAATTAACATGAATTTTAACGATTCGCGTTAATTTCGTGGAGCGTTAATTTCCTATAATAAGGTAGTTTTGAAAATTTTTGGAGGATTAACAAGATGTATCATGGGCAATTTGAAAACGATGAATTATGATGTTCCCATAGAACAATCTCGTTATTATTGCTAACATTCACTAGTTCACTGACTTGTCAGGGGCACCCAACATGAATATAGTTCAAAACCACTTCAACATAGCATTGTTAAACGTATTTCACTATTTAAATGGTAGATAAAGGCATATTTTTATCCCCTTAAAATTTTTCATCTGTTCAGATTTCGTAGCTGAAAGTCTAGTGAACCGAAAATTATCGGGATCAAAACTTACCTTTTCAAAAATTTCAGCCAGAAAAAAGGCTCCCACAAAATCTAGGTGACCTTTTTAGGGTAAAAATCTGTTAAAAATGGGCAATTATACCATTTTTTAGATGTTCAAAAATCCTAGGAGAGGCAGGCCAGCAAGAAATTTTACAACAAATGTTCTGAAAATTCTACATCTCAAATAGTCTTCTGAAGAGGTACTTTTCCGAAAATTGACGTTGGGTGCCCCTGACTTGTTGGACTACCTGTTTACATCAAAAATACATTGATAATGGCTTGAAATTTATGTAAATGGGAACCTCACTGGTGATTTTGATTTCCCTCCTAGCTGTTTACATGCATGTCAACAGATGTCTCCACAAGAAAACCATGAATGATGATAGTGCCATTTCCATGACAACTGAAGATGCGTCAGTCCCTATTACCGCCCCATTCACTGAAGGAGTAACTTATGAATTATGTGCTGGAATCATTGATAAAAATATGAGCTTACCAAGCCTAATGAAGCTAGAAATTCTCGAGGAATGTGGCTATGACGTCCCTGAAGAGAACTTGCAAGAAGTTGCTTCATTCCGTTCGGGTGTAGGAAGCACAGGTGCCTTGCAGACTCTGTTCTTTGCTGAAGTGACAGATGATATGTGTGTGACCAAAGGAGGTGGAAATACTCAGGAAGGGGAAATGATAGATGTGTTTTATTTACCTCTAGAAAAAAGCCGCGAATTTCTGTTTGATGCTTCCAAGCATAAACCAGGTGGATTGATGTTTGCATTCATGTGGTATTTCAACAAATTTAAGGTTTAAAAAGACTATTTGTAATAATAAACTCATGTGTAAACATCATTTTCATGACAATTAGTGTTAACTTAGCCTGAGTATCAGGCCTTTCTGGGGGAAAAGTGGAAAGATTGAAGCGAAAAAGGGAGAGAGCAAAATCTCCTCTCCCCTAGCCCCTTAGGAAGGCTTGATACTCAGGCTAGCGTTAACTAACAACAACATTATGTAATATGGTGACTGTAAACTTCTCAATAGTCTCAAAATTCCATTCAAATTAACAGCAAACTGACTGCAAATATTATTAATTCCCTGAGTGTATCATAAAGCCTAAAAAATCATAACAACATGTTACTCTGACTGTTACTTTAATCATATTGGAATACATGTCAAAATAACGAGGAGAACTATTGTTACTGACAAGAACTTACATTTAAGATACCTGTTTTAATTAAAAACCGTCGTTTTAACAGACAAAAATTACTAATTCTCACACACCACTGGGAGCCATGCCAAGCCGACTGTGCAGCCCTGACCTTTATTACATCAGCACCACAAATCATTAGTGTTACAGCCCAAAAAGAGAGCTAACAAAATGGCTGAAACTGAGCCTAGATACAAGATTAACATACAAGAATAACCCGAACTAAGGCACGACTTGAAATCCTACAAAAACCCATAAAACACATGGAGGGTGGGTGGGCGGGGCAGGTCAGGCAATGGTGGAAGGTAACAAAAACAACTGAACTCTGAAACGCCATGTGAACTGAAGATCCCCCTCACACCTGAACCCATACTCCCAGTTGTGTGGTGGAAAAAAGGTTTTCTGTTTCTTTCATTCCTCAGCCGGTGGAAAACAACACTTAAGTTACAGCTCTAGCCAGAAACGATTAGAGAAGGCCTCTGAAAAAAATGTACAAAAATATGGTGGTGCTTCATTTATGTTAAAAGATCTGTTTTGAGCAGGGTCCAGTTAGTGGTGTGTACAAAAAGTTAAAATAGATGGTTTGTCCTGTGAGAGTCTTCAGGTAAAATACTAACAGAAGCTGCTGCTGTACCACATAGAAGGCAAGTCATCATGTACTCCTGAAAAATAAAGAAAACATTAATTAATTAGGAGGAACTTTCCATTAAAAAATATCTACCCCACTCCCTTCATTGAGGATCATGACTTATGCAAATTAAGAAAAAAAAATCAAAGCGAAACGCATAATTTCCCCTCTTCAAAAACTGATGGAAACGGACCATTAACAGACTGGTGCCAGTTGTTCAAACAATTATTATTTATTGCCCTATCCATGAAATAAATTACTTTCCAGCAGATAGCAATAATTTACCTTTGAACAACTAAGACCTTGTAGATAGAAGGTCTCCGTACTTTTAACATCAACACTTTAGGTAACACGTCAATATACAGCTTATATGTTAATGTAAATATCCTGATTAAGATCTAGTGAGATATCTTGTATTTAATAAAGTTTCTTTTTTGTACTGTAAAATTCAGCATTAAATTCTCCATGGTTTGTAGTTATTGTACCTGCTCATGTAAAAATGTCCTCCAGCATAAAGTTCTGTCACTACCATTAGAAAATGATGATGATGATATAGAGTAGGATGACAAAGATGACTGGGTTCATTGAGGTGACTAAGCTGACCAACAAGGTGAGGATGAAAAGGATGACTGGGAATGACTGCAATGAATGGGATGACTACAATAACTGGGATGACAGGGAATGACTGCGATGAATGGGATGACTAGAATAACTGCCCAGGATGAGGATGAGAATGACTGAGGATGAGTGGCTTGAATATGATGACTGGGGTTACTGGCATGACAAGGATGACTGAGATGTCTGGGATGACTAGAATGACTGGAATGACTAAGATAACTGGATGACTAGGATGACTAAGGTGACTGAGATAACTTGGATGACTGGGATGGCTAGGATTACTGGGGAATGACTTAGATATGACTGGTTAGTATAACGTTGACAAGTAAGGATGACTGGGATGACTGAGTTCACTGGATTGGGATGACTAGGATGACTGGGAATGACTGCGAGGATGACTGAGATGACAGGGATGGCTGGGGTGACAGGGATGGCTAGGATGACTGAGGATGACTGGGATGATGACTGGCATGGCTAGGATGACTGAGTATAACTGAGATGACAGGGATGGCTGGGGTGACAGGGATGACGAGGATGACTGGTATGACTGAGATGACTGGCATGGCTAGGATGACTGGGATGACTGAGGATGACTGGCATGGCTAGGATGATTGAGGATGACTGGGATGACAGGAATGCCTGGCATGACTAGGATGACTTGGAGGTGGGGTGATCAGGATGACTGGTATGACAGGGATGAGTAGGAGGTTTGGGATGACTGGGTTGACTTGGATGACTGAGATGACTGGGATGACAAAGATGACTAGGTCGACTACGACGACTAAGATGACAGGGATGACAAAGATGACTGGGATGACTAAGGGGCTGACCATTTAACTCTTGAGGGGAGGGGTGGGTGATTTTGAAAAAAAAATTTCCTGCGAGCGCTTGTCAGAAGAAAAAAATTGCATGCAGCACAAATGAAATAGAAAGCTTATGGGAAAAAAAAGGAAAAAAAATATCCTGCCCACCTGATTGCTAAAAAAAATATTCTTGATGACCAGAAATCACCCACCGCCCCCCCCCCCCCCCCCCCCCCCCCCNACATCACCTTAGGGGCCGACCATTTAACTCTTGAGGAGGTGGGGGGGGGTGGGGGATTTTGAAAAAAAAACTTACCGGCGGACGTTTGCAAAAAAAAAAAAATTGGATCAACACAAAATAAAAAGAAAGCTTGGGGGAAAAAAAAAGGAAAAAAAAACCCCGCCCCCCCCATAGCTAAAAAAAAAATTCTTTTCGCCCAAAAAACACCCACCGCCCCCCCCCCCCCCCCACCCTCTCTTAAGAGTTAAATGGTAGGCCCGTAAGATGACTAGGATGGGGTTGACTGAGATGACTAGGTAGACTAGGAAGCCTGGGAAGACTGGGATATGACTAGGATGACAGGGATGAAAGGGAAGAATGAAATGACTCAGATGACTGTGGGATAGTAATTTGCTCCTGCTTGGATAACTTGGATAAGTGAGATGACTTTCGATGACTTGGAATACTAATAATATTATTTAATTCTGGAAATACCTAGTATTGTCCCTCAACTCTGAATGTGTATTCATGAGAAGCAACAATGTGATCACAGCTTGGACAGACATCTGCACAACAATGTAAAGCCCCAACAGTTATTACAGCGGTGAGAAGAGTGACAATGGTGACAACAGCGGCAACAGTGACAACAGCAACAACAGTGACAACAGAGACAACAGTGACAAGAATGACAACGGTGACAATAGCGACAACAGTGACAGCGGTGACATCAGCGACAATAATGACAACGGTGATAACAGTGACAACGGTGACAACAGCGACAACGATGACAACAGTGACAACAGCAACAACGGTGATAACAGTGACAACAGTGTCAATAGGGACTACAGCGACAACGGTGACAACAGCAACAATGGTGACAACAGCAACAACGGGGACAATAGTGATAACAACGACAACAGCAACAACGGTGACAACAGCGACAAGAGCGAGAACAGTGACAATAGCAACTACAGCGACAACGGTGACAACAGTGACAACCGTGCCCGTACGAAACGACCAGCGCTGCTGCAACGCCGCAGAATGACTTCAAGAAGCGCTGCAAAAGAGCTGTAAAAGGGCTGGCTGCAGCAGTAGCAAATTTTGGCTGTTTGGCGCTGCAGTGGAAAGCCCTTTGACAACGATAAACAGCGCTGTGGCAGCGGTGCAGAAAATTCCCGAATCACGATCTGCGCTGCAAAGTGGCTTCGAAAAGACAAAGAATGTTGTTACCGGTGGTGGCCTCCCATTCGTTAGTACAAAGAAACGAAAAGCAGACTTCAATAATACAATAATCATGAGACATGGTAGAGGAGTTGACAAGGCCTTAGTAGCGGAGTAAAAACCACCAGAAAGTCAAAATGCAACTGATATCCCTATGATATTTTATTAGTACCCACGCGTACACGTTACAAAAGTACGTGACATATAACAAATCTGCAACAGTCTCGCTTTTTAATATTCAGCAATCACGGTCAGTCATCTAAATGTAAGAACACATTAACATGCAGACATTGAAGTTAATCTTCTTTAAAAATAAAGAGAATAACAGCAACTGTTCGACATAAAGTTTACACGGACAGCAGCCAAATGATATTAACAGGTTAAGCCTGAGATCGCTCACCTTGACGTTTTGTCCATGATCCACGATCTGCTACACTTTTTTCATGAACGAAATCAACCCAATCTTACGCTGGTCGTACATTATCGTGAACTTTTGAATCTTGTAAGTGTAGGCGTACCCCAGCTAAGATTCTTGTAACTGTGTTGCTTGCTCTGGTTCGATTCATCGGTATAATGCGTAGAATTCACTGTACAGTGCCGTTGTTTACAAATACCTTTGAGCTGTTCCATCCAAAGACATCAACAGAACTTCCATCTCGAAACAGAACTAGATGCAAAAAACGTACAATGTTTGCGCCTTTCATTCCACGGTCGCAAATGTTTGTTTAGAGATGTAATGGGATCTCATGCAAAAGTGCCGACTAATTATTTGGGCGTGGCTCAAATAGAGTAATGGAAACGGCTTGTTTTGACGCAAATGTGCAATAGGCACGCAATTCGTGCTAACGTAAACAAACAGGTAAACAAGCGAAGCGAGGCGAAACCAAAAAATATCCACCAAAACCAAAGTAGGAACAATTCTTGACTGTATTAGTTTCCAAATAAGCTTTACAATCGTATACAGGCGACCATCCAAAATTGTACGAGCGAACAAAAACTAAAGAGAAAACCATGAGCTCACATCCGGGTTTTTACAATTAATCATTTCATTTAAGCGTCACTAAAATGTCTCATTTGAAAATGGAATAAACAGTGTCACGTCCATTTCCGGCTGTAACATCCTCCCCCCGTGTTCGGCTACATCAGTTGGGCGAACACTCTTCCAAAAGAACTAATTTCGCTACAGGGCGTCTTAATAGACCAAACTTTGTCTTCACTTCAGCTGATCTTACAACATTGTCAGATCCAGGGAAAACGGTCACAATCCTGCCAAGAGGCCAGCACCCTCTTGGAGTTCCATAATCAACTATGAGCACGAGGTCACCAACCTTCAGGTTAGGTACAGCTTGGAACCACTTCTTACGGGCAGTTAAACCAGGTAAATACTCATGCATCTTTTCCAAATGTGGGTGGTGATG